TTTTGGAATCTCTGACCTTTCGTATTGCGTCATAGCAAGCCTCTTTTATTCAAACATCTTCCCAGGGGGAAATTTTCCCTGTAAATAGTCTGTGCTTTTGACATCTCAGTTTAAGGCCGATAATCAGAAAGTAGGAGCCTACGCACCCAGAAAATCCTTTTCTTCGAGACTTTGTAAGTTTGCGTTGGAAGCACAAACTGCACTTTGCTGTGGCTGACCACTCCAACTGTGTGAATTACTTTCACCCGACAGGTTTTGAGCACGAGTTACTGTAGATCCTGAAATTTGGCGCAAAGTTGTTCATCCATTGTGGGTTGTTCCCGTGTCCTCCTTAGAAGTCATCTTTATCCATTGGTCTTCTGGACCCGCAATTGTTCAAACCCAAAATCGGTCCACATCAGCTGTTTAAAGGGTATTTTGCCATTGAAAAAAGGACCGAATTAAGGCTATAGACTCGCCTGAAATAACACCGGTTAACAGTTGTGTGATAACTAGCTGTAATGTAAATAACGCTTGCTTTTTCGTTTTGCAGCTCGAATAACTGTTGTTAATGTGGTGTTTCTTTGTGCAGTGCTGGTTTTCTTCACCTGAATATACGCACCCGAGGTCAGTCAAAGGACAGTCGGATACCTCGGTTATTCTTTATGTGGTTCTACAGAAATAAACAGTAAGGCTGACAGTGCACGATAGGTAAAAATGCGAGGTAGAAATCAAAAGGAGGGTAGTGAATGACGCAGATGCGTTGCTGTCAGTTTGTATGGGAATAACTACATGGGGCAGGAGTCCACGAACCAGGGAGCGAATAAGAACACGATGCAGGGAACAAAGAGCGTGGGGAGTGGTGAATAAGCACACGGGAATAAAGTTCGCAGTGTGTCAGTGAATGGGAAGGCAGTCAACGAGGTCGAGGGGTCAGACCATGCGACAAGGCACATGGGCAGGATAAAACAAAGGACATGGACCTTCAGTGAATGTTTAAGCGGGCTTAAGGACACATGCTTCGGCCAAGTTCTAACACACAGTTGGTAGCGAGTAAAATCCGAATATGACCTTGACGTGATGAATGTCACAAGAAGGAAGACTTACGGTAGCCCAGTCATACATTTGGCTTCCGACGGCAGTTTGCTAGTGGTGGTGTGAGATAGATACGCTGAGAAGAAAGCAACTCAATCGCTGGGACAACACTTATTCGCCTGACGTTTCGAGATCTGATCGCGGGTTCATCCTCAGAGACATAAGCAGACAGCAGTAGCAGAGATAGGCTATATTTCGAACATATAATTTCAGAGTTTTCAGCGACAAATCTCCCATTCACCGTTTGTAAAAATAAGTAGGTGAAACAGACAACACTGGAAGATCACAAACGATACATAACGGCCGATAACGACAACTTCCGACAGCATTGAAAATCTTTGGTAAAGTACAATGATGATGATGAAGTGGTAGATGCTACGCAAGTCTGCATTATTATATAGACTAAATGTTGATGGGGGCGGTGGCGGCAGCGACGTTAACGGTGACTGTTAGATTCCCGAGGTTGTTTTCTGCGACGAGACCGATTCGATTGCCCCTCCTACTACGCGGCACCCCAATCTTACCTTCCTGGCGTAGCCCTGACATTTATCCTCTATTACCGCACCTGATCAGTATAATTGTGTAGCTTTGCTCCTCTCGAACTACTATTATCTAGGCACCGTAGATTCTTAAATGTTTAGGCAAACTACTAAAGGTCAACAGACGTCTACCTTTGCTGAACGCAACCCGAAGGCGTTTCCAATTCCGTTTACTCACATTGCGCTTGGTAGTACAAAAATACAGCAGGGCGCGTCACACTTAGGCTGCCGATTTTTTTTCACCAGTGGATCAGATAGATTATTCAAATTCGGCAGTCAGCTTACTGTATCAGATTTTTTAGCTTCCACACTTTGAAGAAGGCCGGAGGGTAACTTGCTACAAGCGCGATTAAACTCGCCTCTGACCGGTGTGAGCCTCATTTGGCTAGAGTGTTGGCCCTACCAAAACCTCCTCCTTCTGGGGGCGTGGATTCGAGGCTGCCGAGTTTTTGGACAACTGAGTCAAAGTGTTTATTCAAATCGATACCAAAACAACTTACCAGTTCGTTTTATCTATTTATTGCCGGCTGTTTATGATTTTTTTTATTACTAAACATACCTTCTTATTTTCATCCTTCAGGTTGCCTGCCCCTGGCGTTCTCTAGGTTGTAGCTTTATCGGCGCTCTGCACCTTTTGGCGTCACACAAGAAGAACTGTGTAATGAATCCTGACCTCTTGCCGGAGGCCCTGCGAGTACGTGAACTGCAGGCTCTACAGCGAGCCAGTAGTAGTAGCCAACTCTCTGAGATGGCATTTGCGAGTAGCACCACCTCCAGCAACAATACTGCCAGCACCAACACCACCACATTTTCCGCTTCGGAAATCGATGCTGCCGTGGAAACGCCGAGGAGGGCAACCGCGAGTGGTGCTGGTGATGGCGGCGTCTCTGTGACAATCGACTCAAATGGCGACGATGGTGCGGTCTCTCCGCTGCATCGTCAGACAATCAATGATGACTCCCTGAA